ATTGAGTTGGTTCCAACTCATAGCAACCCTGTATAGGGTTTCCGAGGAGTGGCTGGTAAGCTTGAACCTCTGACCTTGTGGTTCAAACCGACCTTGCAGTCCAGCACATTAACTTGCATGAAAACTCTCAAATATGAAAATATTAGCTTTAACTTGCTGCAGGATCTCACAGCCAGAGATGGAAGCTGCAATAGTTCATAGAAACTTCTCATTGGCACCCCTCAATTCAAGTGGCACTCAAAACACAGGCCACATCTGCCACTTGCCTCTGCTTCTGTGACTCCAAAATGTTAACACTTCCTTTTCAGGGAGTGTTGCTGTGATGCTGGAAACTATGCCACAGTATTTCCACTAGCAGTAGGGTGACTGTGGTGGACAGCTGTCAGTGAAGTTTCCAGATGGTCCTGACTGCTTAGTGCTGCTATAACAGAAATCCCACAAGTGATGACTTTAGGGAACAGAAATTCTTTTCACAGTTCAGAAGTCTTGAATTCCAAATTCCGGGAACCAGCTTCAGGGGAAGGCTCTGTTGGCTGTGGGGGAACATCTATGTCTCAGTTTCTATAACCAGCTACCCTTGGAGTTCTTGGGTCCAAGGACTGGTCCGCCTCCATCATCTTCAAATAGTATCTGTTTTCCCTGTGTCTGCTTTCTTTTGTGCGTAATTTGCTCATTTTTGCCCCAAATGTGATTGGATTAAGACACACGTGATATAGTCTTATTAATTACAAAAACCCTGTAGAGTCCTGTTTGGCTTCCACTGGCTTCACAAGGGGGAAAGAGAATCAGACTCAAAATCAGCCCAAGGCCAAGTCCTATGAAGTGGAGCTCAGACATGCTTCCATTCTACAACCTTCTTTACCCACAGCACACTCTGCTTCACATCTGGGTTGGACAATTCAGTGCAATGGCCACACAGAACTCATAACAACACTCACAATCATGGGGCTTCTTAGGAAAGTGAACAGGGTATAGGTCAGGATCAGAAGCAACTCAGGATGCAGTACTTCTCCAATCAGGGATGCGACTCGTCTGCCATATTGCAGACACACCTCACTCTTGTCTTCAGCCTCTCAGCCATGTGGCCCCATGGCCCCTGCCATGCTCCTTTAGTCTGTCTGTAAATGTCCAAAGAGCATATTGAGCAAGCCAGCCCCCTGGCCGTAGACACACAGCTTTACCCAGCCCGTGGGCCTAGATGCCTATAGCTGGTCCATGTCTCCACCTTTGTCACCACCTCTGCTGTCGTCGCTTTTCTAGGTCGGGATCTCACACTCCACTCATGCTCTTTTTTCTTAACGGTCCTGGGATCATCTGTCCTTGTATCTGAGATGGCTCCTTTTAAACCTAGAGGGGATGGCAAAACTAACCAAGCCCAGCCTTAGAGTCCTGTAAACCTTACTTGCATGATCCCACCCAATCACTTGGAGTCTTGGTGTTGCGCTGGACTGCAAGGTGGGTTTGAACTGCAAGATCAGCAGTTCAAGCTCACTAGTTGCTCCTCAAAAATCCTAAACAGCGTAACTATGAGTTGGAATTGACTTAACAGCACTTAACAACAACAACCCTTGGTAAGAATTAAGATGTTGGCTAGAAAAGCCATATCAAGTAAATTCGAGGTGCCACATGAACAGAACAGAAAACCCCCTTCCCAAACGGGATCACACCCACAGGTCTACCCGCAAACCAAGCCCACTGTTGTCCAGTCGGATTCATTGCGGCCTTGTATAACAGAGTAGAACTGCTCTATAGGGTTTCTGAGACAATCTTTATAGGAGCAGACAGCTTCATCTTTCTCCACGGAGTGGCTGGTGGATTTGTATCACCAATCTTTCTGTTAGCAACCCAACACTTAGCCCACTGCACCCCCAGGGCTCATTTCCACAGGTATTGTTGCTGTTAAGTGCTGTTGTATCAGTTCCAACTCATAGCGACCCTGTATGGGGTTTTCAAGGAGCAGCTGGCAGGTTTGAACTGCTGGCCTTGTGGCTAGCAGTTCAGAGCTTATTCTCCCGTGCCATACCAGTGCCATGCAAAATACACAGTGGCTGCAGTCGTGGACTTGAGCACATCAGTGATGTTGAAGACGGCACAAGACCGGGCCACATTTTGTTCTGTTGTACATGGGGTTACTAAGTCAGAGCTGGCTCCCTGGTGGCTAACAGCAATATCGCATGTGCCCTTGGACACTGGGCATGTGCTTCTTGCAAGGAAACTGGGCATTATCTTGTTTTCCTCCCACAAACTTGACTTGCACCTTAGGGTGATCCTAACAGCTCTCCAGGTGTTAAAGGAATCATAACCATCAGATCTTGTAGTTCCCAGACAACTGCAGACATCATTCCCAAATGAGGTCACCCTATCCCCTGGAGTCATTCCGTTTGGAAAGGTGGTACAAAATCTGTCCCTGACTTTTCGAGGATCAGTGGTACCACCACGGCCCTGGAAGGCACTTGGGTAGACTTCTACTAGCCACCAGGGCTATTAGGGATGATGAGTCCCCTGGACTCCTCCTGTGGGCCTGAGATGGTTTTACAGTCATTAATACATCCCCTGTGCTTCTCCTGCCTCCTGAGATGCTAGTGGATTTCCTGGATATGTTCAGCAGGCCGAGCCCTGTGTCCTGGGGAGCAGGGATGAAGTCAGGGTGCAGATTGGTTCCTCCTGCCTCTTGGAGCTTTGATTGGATATTGCGTGGGATAAATGGGAGATGTGGTGGTTCGGTGGTAGCATTTTTGCCTTCTCATGCAAGAGACCAGGGTTTGGTTCCTGGTCAATGCACCTTCTGTGAGTGGAGGCTGGTGTTTTGCTTATGCTGCTGGAGTTTAACAGGCTCCTAGTCCAAGATGGACTAGAAAGGCCTGCTGACGTATTTCCAAAACACAATAATGGATCTGCAACTAACTGTGAATGGGCAGGACTGGGCAGTATTCAATGCTTTGGTGAGGACCCCTCGATCCCCTCTTAAGAATCTGCTGGGATGGCTCCAAAGTGTTTGAGGAGCATGAAGCTCTGGGAGGGTTGAGTCATATCCTGGACACAGAACACATGACTTAGTTCCCCCTTCCAGTAATGCAACTGGACTTCCTGGGTGCTTTGTCTGGCAATGAAGCCATCAGAGTACCCAAGTCTGTAATGATCTCTAGTGCACAATTGGCAACCAGTTTTATATTATTCTAT